CATCAGGTAATTTCTGCTGATCTATTAATCAACTGCAGCTCTTGTTAGTCAGCTTCTCCAGGTACCTGCATTTAAATTACTTTTATTTTAGTGCAATGTTCTCATTAAAAAACTGCAAGAGAGAGCTCCTTGTTTGTAAAGCTCTGCCTCTACCCACAGCGCTAGGTCTCACTATCTAGCCTCACATCAGCCTACACCAAACGCTGCTACACAGTGATACCATTTCCTTATGGCACGGTAAAGTCAGATGAAATCCGAACTTTCTACTAACACAGCCATTCAGTCCGAGAGCTCCAAACATGCCGACACCGTTTCCTGGAGGCTGGTTCAGATGTGGTTAAACCCCCTGACCAGCACAGAGGAGAAGTGAGAGAGAGGAAAAGCCTGGACTAATCCCTGAGGCCTGCCATACGGTCTGCTGCCAGCTAGCATTACTACACAGTGCACACCCCAAGCACACAGCTTTAATGCCTTCAACCTCCTTATGTCTGAGCTTACCTGGTCGTCTCTGGCTTTCAGCAGCGTGTCCATGTGCTTGGACATTGTGGTTTAGATGAGAGTGCGTGAAGTTAACAAAGTCAAATGACACCAGAACTGTTTCACACTGGACTCAACGCCCTAAGGCACGAGCACTTATTGCTGGTTCTTATCAGCTTAATTCAACAGAGTGCTGCTGAGGCTCTGGCTGACAAGGTCAAGCGCAGACATGAACACAGCTCACGTCTCTTAGCTGAGGTTACCTGCAGGTAGACTTAATGGTAACAAATCACATGACTGGCATACCAAAAAGTGAAACCAGGGTCAAATATCAACCAAAGAAATGGAGAATCAAAGATTTCAGTAATTTTAAATATCCTCTCAGATCAAATGGCCTTTTTCATTTGGTGTTTTATTAACATCTTTTGTTATCATCTTGTATGACGAACGACTCCTGCTTCTCCCACATCAACACAGGCAATAAACCTAACAGTAGTCCACATCATATGTCTTATTTTGTCCTAACAGAAACGATGTACAGGGAGCAAAAGAAACACCATATCTAAAACAACCTCCCAACCCAAAAGCAAAAAAGTTCATTTGACTTTCACCCAAGTTATAATCCCTCAGATCTGGTTTATAATTCACTATTAATACATGAAAGTGGGAAATAAATGGTGGTGTTATTACCAAATATAACTGTACCAGTGGTCATGGAATCGCCCACCCAAACAGCAGCATCAGTACGTGGTCTCCAAGGGTGCCAAAGCCACTCTTTGAGCTACCTCCTGCAAGCAACCCTACCCACCTACTCTTCAAATCCTCAGTTTCAGAGGTGCAGCCAATCAGAAGACAACCCTTAAAGGAAGCAGGGAGAGCGCTTAGGAGGATGAGGTAAGGAGCAGCACTCCATTCGATGTGGAGGAAATGAGTCTTAAATCCTCACACTCTTTAGAGGAAACTCATTTCCACCACTTCTATCTGCACTCTCCTTCTTTTAGTCACTACGCAGAGCTCGTGGCCATAGTTGAAGCTTGAACCGATAAAGTAACAGTTTTGCTCTTCTTTCTCTTCACTACAGACCCAGCGCAGCACCAGTCACCCTCATCCTTCTTTCCTTCCTCACGAAGACAACTCCAAGATACTTAAACTCCTCCGCCTGGAGAAGAAACACATTTCCAACCTGGAGTGGGCAAGGCACCCATTTAAAGCTAGGAACCACGACCTCAGACATCCAGGTGCCAACTTTAACCCCAGCATTTCACACTGGATACCACCCAAGTGCAAGCAGTAGGTCATCGGTCAATGAAGTCAACAGAACCTCATAATCTGCAAACAGCACAGAGGAGATACTGAGACCACCGAACCCGACTGAAGCCCCACAGCTGCGCCTAGAAATTCTGCCTATAAGAATTATGAAGCAAATTGGTGACAAAGGGGCAGGCCTGGATAACACCTACCATAGGAATGAGTCAGAGTTGTACACCTCCACGGGGAGGCTGAGGAATGTGAGCCCCAAACAGAATGAAGGTCGACTTTAATGAATCTATCACCACAATGTCCTTCAATAAGTTTACAAGCTGGAGCAAACATGAACAGTAACAGCTACAAGGAAAACAAAAAGCCAATAAGGCTCATATTTAGTTACCTTTAACAGGACTGGATGAAGTACATGCATTAAAAAGGTATGATGACAGTGTAGATGAATGAACTTAGAGTGAACACAAGAGTAGCTGCAGATATGGAGATCACTGGGTCATGACTCAGTTTTATATCTAACTGAATTATCTTTATTGCATTAAAATAGCAACAAAACATACACTGTTCGCTGAGCTGGGCCGTTAGCTCGTGACTCACATGCCGTTTATTAATATTAGTAGCTGTGGAACATAAATATAATGAAACCATGGCTCAAACATCTCAGCACCAAACCATGACAGCAGGATTATCGCTGGCCTGTTATGAGTGAAAATATAAAGACATCACAGGCAAACGAGGGCTTGTTATGTAAATATAAAGAATGTGCACATTCTGCATCAAAGTCACTTCTTGTAATAGATTTTCAGCACAGACCAACAAGGCTGGAACTACTAAGGACCTAAAAAACCCAAACTCTAATAACATGCAGTGACCTGTGGAGTAAAGTGGCTAAACAGCTAACCAGAAACCTTTTCATTCTCTCTACTCCCACTGAGTAGCTGAATTTGCCCTTTCCTACTCCCATCCCCCCTTTACCTCTGCCTCTCATGGGTGCTTACTCGGGCAACAGGAGTGCAAACAGTACAGTGCGCACAAAAACACACAAGCCGCTGTGCGAGACGGTTCACCTTGGTACCGAGGTCGACATGAAAAGCCGAAACAGGAGGAAAGAGAGAGAGAGAATGGAAGTAAAAAAAATAATAAAAAGCAGCACCAGAGTAGCTTCAGTCTCTCAGCTCTCCCTACTACATGCAGCAGCCTCTTTAATATAACAGGATTAAATTAAGAGAACACATTTTAGCAACACTATGCAACATTTAAAGCAACAGTCTGTAAAAATTGTATGCAATTAGCACACTATTTGAGACAGGAGTCCAGATTCCTCATTCTGCCAGGACTTCATTTGCATTTTGACCGGGTACGGTTGTCAATGCAGCAGGAAATTTGCTCGACTGCTGCTTGAATTTTATTTATTTGTTTAACCTTTACTTCACCTGGAAAATATAACTCTGGAGATTTAAAAGTAAAACTCTCTCACAAGAGTGGCCAAGCCAAGACAAACAGCAGTACAATCAGCAGAGCACACACTGAGGAAGAAGTACACAAACTAACTACACTAAAACACAGCTGGTGAAAAAACAACAACAATAAAATAAAAAATATATAAACATCAGCGCCAATAAAGTCAGTCATCAATAAAAGTCATTGGCTTATACCTCATTTCTGATATGAGACAAGCTTTAAAGTTGTAATAAATCTCCGTGCACCAGCATATGTAAGCATTGTGAAGATGTGCATGTAAATATCACTATCACTATAATCCAGCAAAGACAAAGGTTAAGGCAATAAAAAGAACAGAATGAACTTAATGGTGAAGTAAAAGGTTTCTCACTAGTTACTGAATATGAGGCGTAAAAGAGAGACAGTGTAAATTAAAATCTTAAGTACTTTTATTGAGGTAATAACTCATTCTAAGAGCCCTGAACTGCATGATCCCACCAAAGACTGTTTATACATTAAATAAATAACAGTGGCCCTAGACACGATCCCTGTGGCACTCCTCTGTTCATATTAAGTACCCTGGAAATGACTCCTCCTACCGCCACACTTTGAAACCATCCAGCAGCTTTTCTTTCTGAGGACCCCGCACTGAAGTATTTGCTTTAAGAGTTTATGATCCACTGTACCAAATCCCTTGACTAGACCTGATTATGCTGAGAATTTGAGCAGCTCCCTGAAACCCATTTTTTTACGTGCAATGCATCGTTTGACACAAAGGAACATAAACTACAAGTCTGACAACAATGCCTAGTTTTGAAAGCAAAGCCACAGCTGCTTCTTGTCATTTGCTGAGCCACAGTAGTCTGAGAACCTGAGCTCCACCTCGCTACACGTGCGTCAAAAGCAAAAAAAAAAAAAAACACCGATTAAAACACACGCCCAGCGGAGGAAACGCTCCACTCAGTTCAGATAAAATAGGGCTGTAAGCCTGACCGGCCGGACAGCTGTTTGTTTAGTTACTCAACTCGCTTCGGCTCTTGTATATATGTGTTCTCAACCTGAAAATGTAGCCCTAGTGTCTCCGGGGCTTTAGCCAATAACACGAATGCACAACATGAATACACCAGTGCCCGGGTCTGCTCTTCGCCATGTATGGAACAGTGCAGTGGAGTAAGGCGCAGAAACCACAAAGCACCTGTTGTGTGAGGAATGAGGGCAGCCTTCATTTCTTCACTGCACACATTCAAAAGAAACTGAGGTGATGTTGAAGGATAGTTTGTCAAAGTTAAGGGTCTATTTTTCATGTTTTCAAAAAACAAAACAACAACCAACAAAGAAACGAAACGTGGAGGTGGTTTAGAAAAAAAAAAAAAAAACGGGGAGAGAGATGCCTATACTAGGGGAAAAGGTGGCCAAACCGGAAGGACTAGATGAGCATGATACCGGGATACCAATGGACTGACTTTAGTGCGCAATGGCAAAGCACTTTCAGCATTGTGTTTAAATAGTCCAAATCTACAACGCTATGCCAAAGAGTTTGTACTTATGGTCAGCTTAATGTTGCAGTATAGGCCATACAGTCACACACACACATACACATATAGAGGGGGAATCCCTTGTGGGACCTTTCAGTGGCCACTGGTAAAGCTGCGACGCCTTCTGGGCAGTTAATTCACTCATTAAACATTTAATTTGGGGACAGGGATTGTGGCCTATCCAGTAGATATTCACTCATCCTCTGAAGCCACCGAAGGCCTGAATAAAACCCAGGTTGACCGTCCATCCCACAGCGGGCATTAACCCGTCGTTTCCTGCATATTTACCTGCTGCTTGTCAAAATGATCCCTCTCCGCGCCGAGCCTGACCTCAGTCCGCTTGGATTTCACCCGTGTGGGTACATGACCTAAGCTGCTCATCCTCTAGATTTCACTTCTTTAATTTTTTACGATGATGGCTTTATTAAGAAACAGTCACTCCCCTTCTTTACGCAAAAAAATCACCAAAAACGTCCGAATGAAAGCGAAGTTCAGCAGCGGTCTCTTCTTCTATGTAGACTGCGGGCTGTGAGCGGGGGTGCCACGGTCATCTCCAGACTGCCGCTTCATTACTCTGATGCATCACGGCTGAAGGAGGAAACGCTAATGCGAGCAAATGCGGTGAGTTTGCCTCGCGTTACGTGGACGGATCCTCCCCCTAAGGTGGAAGAAATCATCTGCGCGTCCTCCTCCGCTAAAGTCATCCTCCCACATGAAGGTCGTTTTCTTTTCTTTTCTTTTCTTTTTTTCCCAGCTGTAATGATT